AACGACAACGAGATTCGGGATTATCTACACAGAATGATATACGATAAAACATTCGCTGTTCAATGTACGTACGCGAATTTCACCAAAAAGCATTTAAACTTTGTGCACACGTTAGTAGATAACAATTTATTGTACCAAGAATCATTTCAAGAAATTATCCAAATTAATTCTTTATATTTAAAGACGATGGAAAATTCAATGAAATCTATCATGAGCATTGGCTTCCACCCGCCAAAATGGGTATGGCCGATTCACAATTTTTTAAGTAGTAAATATCGTATACCGAGTAACCAATTCCATAGGAATCTATTCAATGCTTTGGATGTTATAACACAAGTTACGTCCTTATGCAATCTTAAAGGAATATACCATGATACACCCGTTCTTTCTGAATTCTTGACGAAAGAACTAACACAAAAGCGGATGTCCGTGGATTGGAGAAATTTAAATACGGAAAACGATTATTATTTATTGTTAATTCATCGTTGCAAAAATGTTGGTAGTATCGAGTTGGTCCAACCATTTGACGAATCGGAATCAAAACAGTTTACATGGTTGGAGCAGACGGACAAGACAACCGTTAATGTGTTTCCGCATTACTTATACAAACACCTCAGGGAAATCTCGATCGGTATCAGACAGAATATACTATTGAGTCAAAATCTACTAAAACTAAATAGTTATGTATTGTCGTACAAAGATATGAACGAACACGATTTGCATTTAGGACCTAAAATCATAAAAAAACCTATATCCAATCCTAATCAGCTCGATACAAAAAATCCGGAATACTCATTTTACGTTTCGGAAATGACTATAATGCACAAACGCGTCAATCGGGGTTTCAAACTGAAGAACATTACTATTTGGAATCAGAAGAAATATGATGAGGTAATTCCAAAAACTTCAAATTACGATCAAACATATTTAAGGATGTTGTATGGAGAACTTAATACGAATGTAAACGAAATAATGAACACATTGAGTTGCACGTACGTCTATTACACAAACATATTTGTAACTGAAATGATTAAAATTTACAACATAATGCTCGTGATGCCGGACGAACGCATGGAAAATCAAAATCTGAACAAAGAATTGATATTCAAGTACATCGATATATCACTAATGATGTTGGCCACAATTTATAACGAAGAGTATCAACCTCCTGAATGGATGATCTATCTGGTTCTTTATTTTGATATAATACAAAGCATATACGATAACGTGGAGTTGTTCCAGTCCGAAACTAAGAAAANTTACAAAACGCCTGCGATGAATGTGACTTAAATAGTGAGAACCAGCCTGCAATTACCGTGCCACTTGAAGATATAGAAAATGAATACAATCCCGAAGATGTCAAATTGTATATGCGTTGGCAACGCGAATTGATCTTGATACAATTTGCCCACTCTACACGTGGAAAATATGTGCAAGAAATTTATACGTGTTTAATTCATATAGCTTATATATTAGAAATTAATGCGGAATTATTGCCGTATTCAAACTTCAACGATTTCATTCCGTCTAAATGGTTGTTTGGCCGTATCCAATTGGATAAAAACACACTCGACAAATTCCGATGGGATAAAATTCAAGTCGACAAAAATGGCGATGAACACTGGAAAATGTTTTCGGAAAAATTGTTGGCCGAAATAGATTTAAAAAATGTCACAAGTGAAATTGACATAAACGCTAGATTAAATAACTCGTTTTTTATTTACAGTCGATTACTC